GTTTCACTAAGATGATATATTTTATACCATATACAAAAAATATCATAGTTAAAAAAACTAACTATTTTTTTTAATAATATTTATTGCTATTATAAATTACTACAAATATTATATTAAATAGAAAAATTCAATTTGTATCAAGATTTAGAAGAACCATTTTCAATATATTGAAGGTGGATATAAAATTATTTTTGGTTTTCCATCCTCAAAAATATGGACAAATAAAACAAGTAAATTTTGTTTTGGAGCAATATTTGAGATGTATCATCAACTACTATTAAGATAATAGGATATTTTTTTCTATTAGTAGATTTTACTTGTAATAACATGGTACATTCTTCTACTTAATAAATATCTTTTTTTACTAATTATGATTATCATCTATAATTTGATAGTCTTACAATAGAAGATTTCATAAATTGTTTATTAGAGCTACATTCAACAATGAAGGTGCAAGTAAAGAAAGCTCAAACATACCAAAAGAATAATACATATGCCTATAGAAATGAATAACTTCAAATTCACATCGGTGACAAGATATCATTACTTTTATATAATTTTAACACCAACTATCTTTTCTGATTTGAACCATTTCTTATTTGTAAGTAGATCAATTCAATTGCATATTATTTATATGTAAAAAATCTATAAAGATCCATCATATGTTCTACATGTCTCTCTTTGAGCCATACAAGATAGTTGATATATCAAGAAGACAAATGCTATATTTTTTTTTTATTGAAGTAGATAATAATGAAGAGTTTGAGGTAGAAGTCTTAGATTTAAAGCAATGCCAAAATGGGTTGGAATATCTTGTATATTAGCATAGATATGATATTAATGAATACAAATGGAAAATAATAAAGAACCTTACAAATATAACAACAAATGTTGATACTTTTTATCAATGACATCCATCAAAACTAAAATAAAGAATCAAGATGTGAATATTGCCTCTTTTAGAACTTCTCCTTCAAAAAAAAAGATAATAACATAGTTATATATAATTATCTAAATAAGATTATTTGGTAGAATATAAATATAGATATATTTGATAATATCTTATAAAAAAAGCTTTTTAAAAGCTATATAGATGTAGATTTGATTTTATATGTACATATGGTTGATTTCTAGGTTAAAAATTTGGCTAATAAGTTGGCAATGCTTTGCCAACTTAGAGTATAAATAAGCCATGGGACAAACATGTAAAAAATTCGATTTGCAAGTTGGACATGTGTCAAAGGTCCTATAGAACATTATTACATAGCTTCTAGTTAGATTGATATTAGAAGACATGAATAAAGTCTTCATCATTCTTGTCAATATCTTTCATGTTCTTAACTTTATTTCAAGAAATTTTTAATTTATTTATCTTTGGCAATAGCCAATGTAACTTAATATTATACCATCTTTGAGTGATTGTCTATTATTTTTTAGTAACACAAGAATGTATTAATTCTTTGATTCTTTGTAATTTATGTCCTTAAAATTTGTCCATATTTACAAAAAATTCTAATATATGGTTACATGAGTGTCTTCAACTTTTTGACTTTTTTATTTTTAGATTTGATTTAACCACCATTTTTCTACTCTCTCTTTTCTTATTTTTTATATTTACTATTTTAATGGTATAAATAATTTTTTCTATAAGTTCTTAATTTAAAAGATATATCAACTTTGATATGAGCTTTAAGATTTTAAATTTTTTATGGAAGATTATTTTTAAAATTCCAAACATAATTTTGGTTTTATTTTTAGATTTTATATTCTAAATATTTTATTGAATTTTTTTAAAGCTTTATAGATTAATAGATATTGAGAGTTTGATCATTTTAAAATTTAAGTTGACTTTGCAAATAGATAGGATTTTGTAAGTTTTAATTAGACCTATCTTTTAATTTTAGGAATATAAAAATTTAATATTAAATTTAGAATATTTTAAAGATTATTTAATTTTTTAATATATAGACTTTGACTTGGTTTAGAGTTTAAGATTTAAGGTCAATTTTAGGATTTTAAAATTTAAGATTATATGGTTGTATCTAATTTTTTATCTTTTTTTTAAAAAAGTATATATTTTACTTAATCCTCTATTTTTTTGTGTACAATTCTAATAGTATAAATAACTTGATCTACAAGTTTTTAGTTTTTAAAAATAAGTAACTTTGATTTAGACTTTAAATATTTGATTTTTTTATAGAAAAAATTTTAAGAGTTTTTAAAACACTAATGGATGCATATCCAAGTGATCAATTCTAAATATGTCAATGAAGTTTTTTAAAAGTATATAGATATATATAAATTAAAAATTTGAAAATTTAGAAATTTTGATTAACTTTGTAAATAAGTAGAAATTTTGAAGTTTTGATTTGATCTAATGCTGGTCTTTAGAAGTCTAGAAATTTAGTAATAGACTTACAATGCTCTACAAGTTTTATTAATTTTTGGATATAGTACCTTTGACTTTGTATTTTTTTTTATTGGTTTTTTTTTCTTTTTTTTTCTTTTTTTGAAATTTTGAATTGGTATGCACTTTTAATTGTTATACTTTTGATTTTATGTCATGGACATAATCATGTAAGCTAGTAATTACATATACAAATAGGTAGAAATAAGTAAAAGTAGGTAAAAGTAAGTTAATTCTATAGTATTTAATATGGAAGCTTCCTAGAAGCTTTATAGATGCTGCTTTGACTTCATAGGTGTCTTTAATTGACTTTTTGGATTAGAAACGTGGTCAAGAAGTTGGCCATGTGCCACACATGTTATTAGCTTGAAGATCAAGCTAACTATGTGGCCCACACATAGAAAAACTTGTCTTGTAAGTCAAGGCATGTATTCTACAAAGTCAACACATATTGGAGGTCCTATAGAACATCGCCACATAGCCCCTAGTTAGATAGTATATATAGAGACAAGAGTGAAGGCTTCTTCACTCTCGTCAACTCCTTTCTTGCTTCCAGTCTAGTTTCAAGGGTCTCTAGTTTCTTTGTCTTTTGGCAATAGCTATTCCAGTTTCTCTTTCAATATACATACTTGTTTATTTATATTTTATTACCTTTCTTTGAGTGAAGGCTCACTTGTCTGAATTATTTTTTTGTCAAGTTCTTGTCCTTGATATTTTATTAGTGTATTTAAAATCTTCAATAAGTATATAGTTTAAAAGATATGATATTTTTGATATTAAAAAATAATTCTTCATATAATATATAAAAAAAATAAAATTAAAATGTATCAAGACTATTTTATATTATGATTATAAAGCAAGTAGCTTGTATTGGTATATGTATATTTTTTGGTTGCAAAATGTCACATTTACACTACTTTTTAAATATACTATACTTATAAATATCCTAAACTCATATAATCTATGTTCTAAGCCTATGCAATAGATTGTTAAGAGTCATTGAAATGATTGACTTGTAATTTTAGAACAAAAATTGCACTTACATTTCTTAAAAATAAATTTTTAAATAAATTAGTATAGAATTCATATGAATTTTTCCTAAGATTAAGCATAAAAGTTGTTTGCTTGTTGTATTGAGATCCATGGTTTAGGTATCATTTCAAGTTAAATTAACATGGACAAAGATTGTTATGCCACATTATTAAATGTTCCTTTCAAATATTTAGAATTAGAATTTTTATGTTGAAAAAGATATATTTAATAAATTTTTAATCAACTAATTTGGACATAATTTTATGCTCAAAGTCATACGCTATCTTTGGCCAATTGTAGTCCTAATAGTAAACTAAAGAAAAACTACAAATTGTATATATTACATGTTGTATTAGAAGGAAGAAAAAAATATGTATTAAAGTTTTTTTTAGCAAGCTTGAGTAAGGAGTAAAGAGATGCATAGTAAACATTTTAGAGCATTTAAAGGGATAAGTTTCTTTTTTTTATTGGACTCCTCAAAAGTTGTAGTTTTGTATAGAATAAACCACAATAATTAGAAGATTATGTATTCTAAGTTTGACAATGTAGAGAATATCAATGGATTTTGAAGATTATAAGAAAGGCTTTTTGAGTACTTTTGTTGAGTGAAATTCTTTATAACTTAAAGAATGGTATTGTTATGAACTTTAATATAAGAATAGCCAAGAAAAAAGCCATCAAATAGCAATTGGAGATTAAGCTTAGTTTTCCAAGAAAAGAATCAAATCAAGATGATCCATTTTGATATTTAATTTAATACAACACATTTGCCAATTGTGCAACCAATTTACTTTGTAGCACATCAACAATCAACTAAAAGCTTTAGCAATATTCACCACATTGTATAGAAATGAGGACTCCATTGAAAGGTCTTATTTTACTACATCAAGAATTTAACTTTGGAGGTTGTAATTTGCACAAAAGTTGCTACTAAGAAACTAGGGTTTCTAAAGATGTTAGATTGTTCCATAGAGCCAAGTTGTTCCATTGTTCAACTAGATGTTTTGTCACTTCTAATTATAGATGCCACTTTTTTAAATACATTTATTTCTTAATGAATCTAGTTAAGATTCTTAATGAATCTAGTTAAGATTCTTAATAATTTATCATTACTTATAAAACTATGAACCTTTAGTGTGATGTTTATGTTGTACCCTTGATAACTGAATGTTCCATACTTGTATTGGATGAAGTCTAATATGAAAAAAATAACTTGCCAGTTTGTGTGGTACCAATGCTTGGATATTCTTCAAAAAAAGTGGGATGCATAAACAACCATCAAGTTTAATTTCCGAAGACTGTATGAGCTCCACCCTTGACATGAAGGTGGGCTTTGCTGGAGATTCTCAAGACGAAAGACCCAAATCTGGTTTGTGAGGGGGACTTTTAACTTCTCTCGTTTCAAGGTGTCATCAACATTATGTTGTACGAGGACAATTGCGTACCTGACAGGACACAAGTATAAGTGCTATTGACGACCAATATATAACATCAATGGTACGATAACAGATCTATGTGATGCCAAAAAAAAGATAATTTCTTTAGAAGGATGGAGCAATCGTGCAGAAAGAAATTCCTTCATTAAAAAAATGTGATTTATACACATCATCATATATGTCTATGTGTGGTCGCACGCGCGTCACTAAAAATAATCAATGAAATATTCATGAGCGTGAGCAACCTTCAAATCCAACATGGCTAACATTTACACCTTCAACAAAATACTCATGTGGGAAGGTTTCCTAGAATTTCTTAATTCAGAAGTCGGCTGGATTTCCAATCAAGGGAAGCACCCAATTGCAACATTAGTGGATAGATAGGAGAGAATTCTTTATCTCCTCTAGCCTGGACCTTGGCCGCATACTCATCCAAAGTTGTCTTAATGCCCTTCCAGGCCTGCTCCTCACCTTGGGCATCCAACCACAATGAATACTGCTGAGGAGACAACTTCATGCGCTGCATTGGAGACTCCAAATCCACAGGTGCTCGAGTGTAAAGGTGGTGGAGTACAATTGTAGGGGGCAACTCATGCAACGAAGGACTGCTGGCAAAATCCGAAGTCTCAAGAAAGACTAGGGGTTTAAATGCACGAAAGGCACGATAGGGGGCACCCAGCTGCTCTACAGGAAACAAACTCTGACCAACCACCAGCTCCAGTTCTGCCATATCGCTTATAAGTTGCAACTTTCCAGATTCTGAAAGAGGCCTGACCATGGCTGCATGTCTAACCCAAAACAAAAGGACACGAGAGGCCAACTTCCTTGCTAGACCGGTTGATATAGATTCCCCAGACACTGATGTGATAGCTAAGGTAGGCCCTGCCAATAACTTGGAGAGAAACTCACTCCGAAAGTGCATAATTGATTTCTGCACATCTTCCATATACTTCGAACAACCATTGCCCATGCCAGCATCCATGTCCTCTGATGCAAAACTTTGCTCATGGATTTGTAATATGCAATTCTCCAGTCTCTCCATCATTGCTTTGAAAAGAGTGGTTATGCAATCCGATGCAACCCCATACAAAGAACCAAGAGATGGTGAAAGAACCTCAATTGCTGCACTAGGGAGGCCGACTAACATAGCTGTAACTCTGGCATGCACATCCTGTAGTTGAAGAGACAACGTGATATTTTTTAACTGCTGAGGAGTTAGAGAACCCACGACTTGCCGTGATTCTGGACCTGTAGCAGTCTGAAATTCACAAAAGCCCACGAGTCAGTGATATTAATAGGTACCGGAGTAGAAATCTTAGAATAAGACATGAACATGCCACAACTAGAGCTAAAACATTATTCACCGAAATGTCTCCGCTATTGATGCGTTTATTTCAGGAGAATGGGATGATAACCACACGCAATTAAAATTGTCATCTCGTAGGAATAAAAAGATGAGTCGTTTCGTGCACAGACCACCAATGACCAGATTTACTTTCACGTTTCCATCTGAATATGGACTCTACAAGGAGACAAAAAATTGTATACAGGTTTGAGGACAGTATAACCTGGTATTCGGCTTTTTCAGCAAGGAGCCGAAGAATTTCTCCAATTTCTTGCAAAACCAAAAACGTGAGCTTCACATCAGACTTCACAATATCGAGCTCCTCTTGGATGCGAGACACCAATCTGAAAACTTGTTCTTGAGACGGAATACTTCCTCGGACAGCAGATGGAAACATGCTGTTCACAAGCTCAGAAAGACGACCGAGGGACTTCCCCAAATAAGCCGTCTGGAAAGGTTCCAAAGCTGCTACGAGCTGATCTCTAGCTTCAGGCTTAATGGCGGGAGGCACCCCCTTCACATTTGTATCCCTAAATAGTCTTTCCAGTAAGCCATCCACCATACCGAGAAGCTTAGGGTAACCTACAACAAATGGGTCTTTAACAAAGCTTGATGCAGTGAAGGCAGATTTCATTTGGGTAGCAAATGATTTCACCACTGTTTCCCAAACCCGCTCTGCCAACATCGGATCACCAGGCTGCATGACCACGCACAAATACTTTCAGTTCAAGGTAGCATGGTAGGGAATCTAACTTAAATATAAGAAAATACTTCTCGACAGTTATCCCTGTTCATTTTCTATTGCAGATTAATGCAGGACTGTAGCGTGTTCGATATCAAGTATCCTCCAAAACAGATCCCTACTCTCCCAGGTTCATGCCAAGAAAATTTTCAAATAAATCCTCTTTCCATCACTGCTTCTCGGTTTATCAACTCTGACCATGGCTCTCGCACAATTTCGCACCGATTCTCCCTTTTCCTCCTAACTTCTAGCTAATTTACTCTTTGTCTTCTTGTGACAGCACCTCTCACCTATGGAGAATTGCAAATGAGAACTACAGATAAACAGAGTTAAATCGAGTTTTGCCTCAAGCAAGGACTCGGACGCAAAGAGAATCACTGTCGGAATAATGCATGATTCGTACCCCGAAATGCCATAACTCAATCGTAACAAAAAATCCAATTTTAAACTGTTCTGAAAATTACGGGTGTAGCAAACACGCTATGATCCTGCTTGAATTCTTCATGCGAAGATATGAAAGAAAAAGATAAGTCCCCTTTAAACAACTCGACTAACTAAAGCGCTAAAATGCCCAAATGCTGTTGGTAACATTGCCACGCATAGGACCAGAAACCTCTTGCCTGCATAACTTCGTCCAAGAACACAACGTGAGAAATAGGATCTCTTTTTTTCGCCAGCACTCGCTGCAAATGCCAAACTTCCACCACAACCCCATGTAGCTGGTCCATACAAGTTCCCATCTTCTGCCACAAACTCTCTCTTGATCTTGGATTACCAGCACCTTGAGAGGTATTAGTCCGTTGCATGCTTCCAGAGCCGAGAGAACTCCCGACGCTTGATGAAATAGGTTTCATAGCTAACGCAGCACTCACACTTTTGACAGTCAATCCCTTATACTTCCCGATCAAATTCTCAACCGTTGGCTTGAGCTCGCCCATGTTATACAGCACCTGCAAAAAGCTACCCACTTCCGCTTGGTTGAGCGCCTCCATTCCCTTCTCTAAACCCTTCAATGCTTCGTTTTTGATCTGAGTTCCAACCTCTAAAACCCACGGAATCTCATCATCCACTACCTCCACGCCGGCAAGATCGGTCTCCTTTCGTAGGGTTTCTATCTCATTGTAAAGCTGAGCACCCTTGGCCAGGTCCGCAGTAGCGCTACCCGATTCCATCAACTCATGTAGCCGTTTCACCAGCTTCAAAACCCTGATCACCGTTCTCAGAAGCTCCACTGTGTCGTGCAGGGACGCCAATTGCCTGGACTTGGTCTTGATGTGCTTGTAAGGCTCCGCAATTTCTGCCCTCACTCTCTGGGTGGAGGCTTGCAAGCCTTCCACGCCAGCCCTGACAACAGTAAGCACACTCTCTGTTTCCTTCAAACTCGACAGCTGCTCCAGCAGCTCATCGTGCCGTAAGAAGACCTCGCTCCTCAGCTGCCTCTCCAACAGCTCAATTCCCTCTCGCAACTTCTCAGAGGACGCAGCGGCAGATCCACTGCTCAACGCCTCACTCGCAAATTGCGTGACATTAAAGTCGTCCACGAGAAACTTCGAGAAGATCTTGTCGTTCTTGAACTCCTCAATCGCAGCCCGGGATGCTGCCTCTGCGGCCGCTGCATCGGCAGCATTCTCGGACAAACTCTCTCGATCGAACCGCGACAAAGACGAAGACCTATGCGACGCTAGTACTTGCAACCGCGGGGATCCGGAGCTCGTGCGACTAAACGCACTGCTCATTCTCTGCACGCGCGGAGACGCCATCTCCACTCCTCACGCACCTCCTCCTCGCCACAAATGTAGATCAAGTCCTCCGCAGTTCCACAAAACTTGACCCCCTCCCCATGCTCACCGCCTCCCCGATGCCTTCCCTCCCCCGACCCTGTGCTGATTCCCTCTGCCTCCGCCTCCGCCTCTGCTCTATCTCCATACACTCCCTGGTCGCTACCTTGCAACAGCAGCAGCAGCAATCCCTTCTCGCTCCCGACACCGCGCTAGACCTGCCCCTGTGGCTCCCTCTCCTCGAGGAAGAGCATTCCTGGACGACGAGGACGAGGACGAACACGAAGACGATGAAAAAGAAGGAGAAAAATGAACAGAAAACCCTAAAATAGCCAAAGCACTCGTTCAGACGTGTCCGTTCACATAATTGTGTGTACATTTACATTCCCTTTAGACATAACATTCACACACATGGTGCACACATGTACTGGGATAGGATACTGTTTATGATTCTCTTTCCTAATCGTCATCTACATACAGGGTATTGCTAAGGGTGATGGTAAGGGTATTTCTAAGGGTGATGGTAAGGGTATTTCTAAGGGTGATGGTAAGGGTATTTCTAAGGGCAAGGGTATTTCTAAGGGTGATGGTAAGGGTATTTCTAAGGGTGATGGTAAGGGGTGATGGTAAGGGTATTTCTAAGGGTGATGGTAAGGGTATTTCTAAGGGTGATGGTAAGGGTATTTCTAAGGGCAAGGGTATTTCTAAGGGTGATGGTAAGGGTATTTCTAAGGGTGATGGTAAGGGGTGATGGTAAGGGTATTTCTAAGGGTGATGGTAAGGGGTGATGGTAAGGGTATTTCTAAGGGTGATGGTAAGGGTATTTCTAAGGGCAAGGGTATTTCTAAGGGTGATGGTAAGGGTATTTCTAAGGGTGATGGTAAGGGAAGGGTATTTCTAAGGGTGATGGTAAGGGTATTTCTAAGGGTGATGGTAAGGGTATTTCTAAGGGTGATGGTAAGGGTATTTCTAAGGGTGATGGTAAGGGTATTTCTAAGGGTAAGGGTATTTCTAAGGGTGATGGTAAGGGAAGGGTATTTCTAAGGGTGATGGTAAGGGTATTTCTAAGGGTGATGGTAAGGGTATTTCTAAGGGTGATGGTAAGGGTATTTCTAAGGGTGATGGTAAGGGAAGGGTATTTCTAAGGGTGATGGTAAGGGTATTTCTAAGGGTGATGGTAAGGGTATTTCTAAGGGTGATGGTAAGGATATTTCTAAGGGTGATGGTAAGGGTATTTCTAAGGGTGATGGTAAGGGTATTTCTAAGGGTGATGGTAAGGGAAGGGTATTTCTAAGGGTGATGGTAAGGGTATTTCTAAGGGTGATGGTAAGGGTATTTCTAAGGGTGATGGTAAGGATATTTCTAAGGGTGATGGTAAGGGTATTTCTAAGGGTGATGGTAAGGGTATTTCTAAGGGTGATGGTAAGGGTATTTCTAAGGGTGATGGTAAGGGTATTTCTAAGGGTATCGCTGATGTCGCCACAGTTTTTTTATTTGCTTTTTGTCATCACAATCTACCATCCACCACATGTTATCACAGTTTTTGTTTACTGCCACCACAACATGCCACTTATTCTTTTGAATTTGTTTTTTTGCAAAACATGTTATACTTTCATAGTTTTAAAAGCTTTACATTAATAAACAAATGATTTTGTTTATTGTTTGAATATGCTTTGTGAGTTTCATAAGTTTGCATGGCTTGAACCTTCAGAAGGCACCTCTGTGAAAAATGCATTTCCTTGAGTACCACACCATGATCTTTGTAAGTAAAACCTTTCATGCACATTTTAAATACATTAATAGAAATTATATTTTTATGTTGTATATCTATTCTATACTGTTGATTTACATATACATGCAAACTACCTCACCAATCATAAATGACACTATTTTCTTAGCCCATTAAAAACCAGAAATCAGATCACTAATTTTTTTAATACAAAACAAACACAAAACATGACTGTAATAAATAAAAGAAAAAGAAAAAGAAAATGCCATTGAAAATAATTATCAGAGAAATATATTTATAAAATCATTTATTTCACAAAACACATTTTTTAGTAATACATCTTTTCTACCAATAATAATAATATATTGCATTCAAATTGCACAACTAAAATGGTTAACTTAATTAGTGTATCCTATTGATTTTTGTAAAATTAATCAACAACCACAGTTAGATTATCAGTAGTGTTATAAAATATCTTATCAAACATGTTACTGTAGTGCTAGTAATGACTTCTAAACGCTACAAAAATTTGAAGCGAATTCATTTTACAACAAACCCTTTTGAACGATGGGTCATATGGATGAAAATAATCCCTTGGGAGATAAACGAATGATTTTCGAGACTCACCACCCACATACGGTCCGAAGTACTGGGGACGAATGAATACGAATAAAATATAGTACGAATGTATGAGGAGGAGAGATACGAAATACGGGGAGGGAGAGGATAGTGTATAGAGTGGGAGGGGGGAGCAGAAGGAAGGGAGGGGAGCTATGGCGTTGCACCATCGCTGGGCCTGCTCGTGGCCATGGCTCGCCACGCCCGGTGGTGGTGGTGGTGACGACGCCGCCTCACCTGTGCGTCCGCGCCGACAACGCCCTCCGCGAATTGATCTTCGTAAGCTTCTGGACCGTGTGGCGGTTGTTCATCCCGACTCTTCTTCTGCAGGTATATTTTTCTCCTTCCCAGGGTTTAAGCATGGTGGCATATGAATGTTATATCTGAATTGAGCTGCTATTCTGTGAATTTAGTTGAATGATTCTGTTGCGATTGGAGGGTATTGATTCGCGAGTTATTCCCTTGTCGCTTATTGACGGTTCCTGCATAGTAGGAGGTTCAAGTTGACGTCGATAAGGAATTTTACTGCGTTTCGCTGTGTTACATTCACGTCAGCTGCAACACTTTTTGGCGGCGTTGTGTTATCCTTGACTGCTGTGTTACTGAAATTGTCGTCGGCAGCTAAGGATTGTTCGGGAATGGTTTTTGTAGGATTACAAGATTTTTTTGATGGAATGTATGAGAAGTTTGTTCTGGATAATGAGGATTCTTGCAACCGCAAATTGCCGCTGCTGGGCAAGCCATTTTAGCAGTGCTTAGTAAAACAGTAGCTGTGATGGCGGTTGTATTATTTCTCATAATTATTCCCGGTTTGAAATGTATCACTGAGATTTCTGGACGACCCTTCTGGTCACTCCTATTTTTTATTTCGTGGATGAGTGGTTAAGAATTATGTAATTTGAACTCGCCATCAGGCTGTTGGTAGCTAGGGCTTATCCATCTTTGTCTTTGTGATGGGTAGTCTGCATTGGCACTCGCAATCCCGCGTTTCTTCGCTGTTTTCAACTAAAAAGAAAGTAAAAAAAGAGGAGGATTGAAAAGTGGAGTGAATGTTTACAGAAGTGATTTAGACTGGGATATTGTGTGGGCAGCACAGGATAATGCGAAGGTATGGTTGCCATCTCCTCCTCCTGTGGAGAAACCACGAGCAGTACATAACGCAGCCTCCCTTGCATATCTAGGCGACTCAATATATGAGGTTTGTTGACCAGACTTGCCTCCGGATTTTTTGTCTCTTGCCATTGAACATGTTGTAAATAATTCGTATTTAACGCTAACAAGCAAGGGCAGAAAAGCAAGATCGAATCCTATCAGGTCAGAGAAAGTATCAATCTTATCATTGCGTACCTTCTTTCGTGCGACTTATCACCTTTTACGTGGCTTTGGGCAGGTTTATGTGCGACGTCACTTTTTGACACCCCCTCAGAAAGTAGATGTTTATAACAAGCGAGTTATGGATTTGGTCTGCTGTGAAGCACAGGTTGAGGTTATCCTTGTATAATCTATTAGATGAAGCAGATAAACTCTCTGGTATATTGTGTGGTGGACTATATGCATATTGAGCTCTTGTGAGGTTGCAAGCGTCAAAGCATCAAGTGAGGGGAAACCAGAGATTCATTCATATACCCTGGATTAACCAGTTTGCATACAATCGTTTGTCATCGTCGAGTCTTTGCTCATTTTGAGGTAGTAGAATGATCCAAAAGTAATAGATGGGGTAACATTGTAATTCGAGTAAGTTTCTTGTGTTATTTGTTTGATATGGTAGGATGCCATGCTTCAGCAGTTACTCAAGGGAGATTTTCTCACTGACGAAGAAAGGTCAGCTACTGTTTTCATCTGACCTCTGAGTTTTCCCACATCAACACCAAGTGTCTTCTGCATGCATTAATGTGAAGATTTTACCCATCTTCCAAGTCTAATATTCCTACACTCATTATCATCAATGGACATCTGACGACGGAGTCATGTGCAGGGACGTAGTAAGATGGGGGAAGAACATAGAAACTGGTCAAAGGCGAGCAAGTAGGCGGGCAGGTAGTAAAGCGTATAGCAGTGCATCGGCTTTAGAAACTCTAGTAAGTTGACTACCATCGTTCATCTTCTACTTCTAAAATCGTGAGCTAGGAAATGTGTCTGGATTCTCCATGGTGTGCGAATCTTGAAAGTCGAGATGATAAGATTTTGAATCACCTAGTGCTCGAGAAAATGTTTCCAACTGGTTGTCAACAACGCTCATCAAACATTCGTTTGTTTCAGTTTGTTAATGTCTCTATAATTGTACTTTTTTGTGCTTCTTCAACAATGATAATATATGCTTACCTCTTCTTTATAATGACCAAAGCCCTAAGTTTCGAACACCGTTATGCAGATTGGTTACTTATATTTGACGGACCATCCGCGATTGGAGGAACTCATGACAAAAGTCGGTTTTAACGTCGACAGCAACTTCTCACATATTGGTTTTGGATTTCAGACAGCTGACAAGAGCAGCAGTTCTTAGTCGTTGTGCGTATCAGAAAATTTTAGTTGTTACGCGTACCGGCAGCATTGCAAGGTTTTCCTGTTGGAATGTTCCGACACATGTAGTCTATTTGTGTGAGAGATGTATCTAGAATAAATTCATTAAAAGGTTGCAAAAAACCGTTACTCTTTGATCATGTTCTCGTGTACTGTCAAATATGTGCGTTTCATCTCATCCTTCTACTGCGAGAACCTGTTTCTGCTCATTGGTTATAATTAAATATTTCTAAACTAAGGCTTTTTTGAATGTGCCATCTCCGCATGCTTGAAGTATCCCCCAAGTGAACGTGAGGCCATCCTTTCAAGGATTGGTAACTTGGTTTGAAACTTCCCACTGTAGCTTACACACCCGACTTGGCGGGTCCAGAAAATATCTTGCTTTGTGAAAGTAGGGTTCCACCTACAAAAGTAAAAACTTTCCACAGTGGTATCTAGCACTGGAAGAGGATAGGTGCAATGTAACATCACTCATACGCTTCGTTAGGCCAGTTGGGCTGCTCCTAGACCTAGATCTCATTGACAAAATGTTGAAATTGGCCATGTGTAAGTTTGTAAATCTTGCTTCAGAAGCGTTGTGCATATCACTCAAAAGCCGACAATTATAATCAATCGCTTGAATCAGTTCGCGGCCCGTCTCAAGCTCGTCGGAAATCGCGAGTTCGCAATGTATCAGCAACATCAGTTGTCTTCACATTCTGAAGCGCTGGTTGATCAATTTGAGGAGGGAATAACGTCAATAAGCCGATGTGCTCTGGAAGATTTGTTGTGCACATGTGCGCGTAGCCCGAGGAATGCAGTAGAGCCTCATGCGCTTTGCAATTGAATTACAGTACCACAATACGGGCGGCAAGCATACTCAATCTGACACACAATTCGATGTGAAGGTTCGTTACGCTTGTTTCTTTTTACTTCATTGGCCTTTTGGCATTGTTTCCGTGTGGATATCATCTACGTACATCTGTCTATCGTTTTTGAAGGGGTGAAGTGATTAAATCATAACAGTAATAGAACGTAGGCTCACAAACAAGCGATGAAACACTTTAGTGCGTTCCTTTTGGGCTTCATTTGTGCGCTCTCTTTAAAAGGTACGATTTTGGCTCATTGTAGGTTACCAATCTCGGATGTTACAGTTGCATTAGCTTGCATAGCCTTGTAGTATTTGTTTCAGGGCTGTGATTTAGGGTTAAGTAGCTGATACTAAGATGGAGCTTCAAAGTGAGGATGGGAGCCTCGTCGAGCTGGCTGAGGGCGTAGAGAAAGAACTTGGTAGAGGTCCGGGGTTCGCTCCTCATGATCGAACGGTTTCTCGTCGCCAAGTCCGCCTGAAAGTGCAACCAACTGCGGCCTCTGAGGACCGATTTCATTTCAATGTTTTAATTGATGTGATTGGCCCAAACCCAATTTGCATAATCCACTCCAATGATGGAAGTAAATCGACAGACGAAGTGGAAATCGCGAAATCGGGGACACAGACCTTGTTGCGAACTGGGGATAGATTCTCTCTTTCCATTCAAGAACCGGTTTTCTACACGTTGCAAGAGCCAGGTGCAAGAGTCACCCTTGGCTCACATGTTTCTGGTGACACAAGACCCCAAAGAATTGAGAATATTAACGGTAGAAAAATAGCAGGGCACAAAGAAAGTGATGCAAATGACCAATGTGATGGAGGAGTAAGAGTGGAAGAGGCTGATCATCTCAAAGCTGACAGTAGAAGAGTAGGAATCACGACAGATGCTGATGAAGAGGAAGGCATTGCTGAGGCTGTAGCAAGGTGGCAACGGAGGAAGCAAGAGCTCATGGAAATAGATCAGAGGAGGTCGACCCAGGCGGGAACAGTCCTCAAGGAAGATAAAGATAGGATCGGGGAGCAAGCGATAGTGGAAGAAAAACTAACCAAAGATATTTCCCAACTGGAGCCTGTTCACAGCAAAACTTTGTCTCGTGATCCACTTGAAACTAATGAGCCTGAACTGTTCGATAGAGGAAGGCCAAGTGAAGACGACACAGACCTAGCCAAGAGTAAGCGATCCTTGAAATGAGGGAAATTCTTTTTCGGGTCTGAATTCAACATTTATTCATATTATTTTGCATACAAGTTAGTTATCTGCTGACTTAACTGCTGCTTTGAATGGAACGGCTAGAATTTGGATTTGTCGTTGAAGGCTGCGAGTTTGAACGTTATGGGAAGATGGCGCATGATACCAGCAATTGGGTATGGCAAATAGGGAGACGTCAAGTGAATTACAGTGATGATGACGAAGACGGATATGGAGGTGATCAAGATTACAAGCAGCACAGATTGATTACCACAGGTCTATTACCCGACCTTTTTGTACCTGCAAAATAATTTCATCCTTTAACTGCAAGTTTGTCATTGCGAAAGGTCATGGTTTGAGATCGATCGACGAAGGACTCATATTATGCTAAGTTTTGCCATTTGTTTTCGCCGTTGTGTTTGGACTTTGAATACTGCGAATGTGATCACGGCGCACAAGTATTCAAGATCTTTTGGTTTTGGTCTGACGACGTTCATTTGATTAGGATCTGAGTCAAAGCAGAAAGCCAAACCTGGAAACGACGATGACGAAGAAGATGATGACTGGCGAGGGGATGATGAAGGAGAAATTAAGCTGCTTTCGTCTGGCGAAAAAGTTGTGTCACGAAAGAGAGGTGTGCAGACTCGATTGCGTGACGTTGCTACTACGTCAGAAGCTAGATCAGATTCAAAAAAGAAAAGAAAGGTATCGAGTAAAACCCTAGCGGCCGCTTCAACGTCGTCTCAAAAGGATTTTAAGCGAAAACCAAGAGCATCTGAAGAGGAGGATGATGAGGAAGATGGTGATAAGGACCTAGACGATTTTGTTGTTGAAGATGCTGACGACGAAGATGAGGTGATAATCAACGCTCAACCTTTGTAACTTTCTGTTTGACCGATTACAGAGAATTCCTCAAAAAATTTAACCGCCTTTTTAAGCGGTAAGACGGTTGAGATGATTCCACCATTAGAGCTTCAGATCCTGAATGTTTCTATAGCTTGGAAGTTTTCATTTAGAAACACAGTTGAGCTATTTCTTTGTTTCAATGAATGATGATAGTCTTCTGAATAGGATTTTTGCCAAGAGAGTTAAAGGAAGATGACCTGATATTTACTTTCACGGTTGAGATTCTCCAATGTCTAATTGCACATTTTACTTAGATAATGCAGGTTGAAGACGATGAGGACGAGTGGACAGACGAAGACGAAGACGAAGATGGGGAGATCGAAGAACTCGATGATCTTGATGAAGTTAAAAGCGGACCTGTAAAGAACAAGTCCAATCAAGTCAGTGTTAAACCAATGTGTAAATATGGAAGCAAATGCTTTAGGTATGTTAGAACCTAACTATTTGTACTTTTCTTTCTCCGTATGAATTGATATCAATCATGCTTCTTGGGGAAGTATTTCAAGCCTCCATTAGACGTCATGATTTTTAGCAATCCACGTTTCGGTGCTGTACGTTTTTCTTATTCCTATCCAGAACGACTTTTCTGTTACCGAAGAACATTTAGCGGTGGAATCGGACGATATTCTACTTAGATCTTCGAACTAGTTGAATACCAAAAGAGGCTAACATGGTCAGCATTTATTTACATTGAAAGAAAAGTTTAATTTTGTTCCCTCATCTGAATGGGAGGTGCCATGTAACATTTAATTGCTGTAGATTCAAATTTTCAGCTTCTACACCGTACACAGCTGAGATGCGTCCTGTACTGGAAACGCGCAGAGAGTTCTGCTAACGAGTTGGTTGACGTCGATTGAGGGTTAAAATTTTGAATGGACTGCTTCGCATTTCTCGTTGTCTTTGAAAATCTTTTTTCTTGCCTAAACGTCACGTATGTTATTTTCTGCTGCAGGAAGAACAAGGATCACTTGGATCAGTTCCGACATTGACAACTTATGTTCTTTTCGTCGACTAATTGGGCACTGGAATTTCATAAGCATGCACTGAATTCGATTCGCTTGGATTCTTTAGGTCATGCATTTGTAACCCATTCCAGTTCCTTTGTTTAAATAGCTGACCACTTGCAGTTTAGAGACATCATGAAAGATTTCGGGTATGATTTAGAATACTGCAATGTTTAAATCGCTCTTGAAGGGGTTATCGAAATCTTTTGTGACTGCAAGATTGTCCTTGTCGAGGGTTCCTCTTTTTCCATTATTATCCCACCAGGTTGGCGTCTTGGTTCTACCTCAGAATCGATCCCAAACCTGAGAATCTTGTTAGTATCTTAATTAGAGGTCTTCTCCACCAAACTTGACTCTATTTATGTGAGAAATACCTCTGACAAGTACGAATGCATGCTTACCACTGTAGTATGCCATCTGAAATGGAATTCCCAGCCCTTGCAGCGCTTCCTGGATGGCCTTGAATGGTGGGGACTATTATTTTGCCAACCTAGAGAGGCTCATCAATCGCAGGCTCCTTGAAACGATTTTTGCACTCCTGCTCGAAGAAGTTTTCCACTTGCTAGTCCAAAGTTTTGAAAGGACAGCTGAACTTATACTGAAGTCAGTTGATCAAGCTCTTTTTATCGGTTCCCAGTTGGCGTGGGCTGGATTCGCAACCTATTCCTGATATTTCCTCCTATCTCTTCAAGACCTTGTTGTTTGCTCTTGCTTTCACCTAATCCTTGAAGGGTCATTTGTGCTGTGGTTGTCCCCTTTTTATGCCCTGATTAGAAGCAGTGTTTAATTCTCTGTACATGCTCTAATGGACGTTACTGAATGAGGTTACTTATAATGAAGATTGTCCTCCCTAACTGAAGGGCAAGTTTAGTGCATTCGGTTCTCAGATCCATGGTTTGTTTGTTTCATTCTTGAACTGAGCAACCCAAAATCTCGTGATGCTTTGACTGATTAGGAAATGTAACTAAAACCACCAAGACTTTAAATTTGGTTTACAATTCGGCAGCTTCATTTCATTAATAGGCTCTTCATAGAAAATGTGACATCAAAATGAGAAAATAGAGAAAATTGCAGTTATTCCAATAACTTTAAAAATAAGAAATAAGAAATAAGAAATAAAATAATAATAATAAATTGGTGGTCTGCCATGTTGTCTCTCTTGCCTCAAATGTAATGTTGTATTCAAACTTGTAAATTAGAATAAATTTCTTAAATTTTTTTCTAACTTTTTTAAAATTTGAATTAACAGTTTAATCATTTAATTCAGATAATTGTAAACAACTTTGGTATTTCAGTTGTTGTTTCGTTTATTTTTTTACATTCATTGATTAGAAGAGTCCTACTACTATCATTATTATTCTTAAACACACATACTAATTGTGCAAATATGCATGTCTTCATGGCTGAAGAGAATAAACCATTACCAACAAATGAAGCCAGCCCTAAAATTTCCCCAAAGTTTCAAATCTATTTTTATTCTACATTTTAAGACAATCCAATCTCACAAATAACATCCCAAACTCCAAATCAACCCCCCCCCCCCAAGATTCTTCTTGAGCATGTCTCGAAAAGCCACACACATGCCAAAAGAGAACAACGACGACGACGAAGACCTGCTCCAATCGACCTCATTCTTTCTCTCTCCTGCATCCCGCTAATCAAGAGACATGAGAAGATTAGATCTCACCACACAACACAAACCCACTTAGATCACAGCCTCCTTCACCAAACCAAGGAACAAAAACCAAAAACAGACAAGAAGAAACCACCTTCAATCTTCGCTTAAGTCTGCACAGGCAGTCCACTACACAACACTTGACCCAAACGCAGAAAATCCAAGCGGGATCACTGTAGCAGAGTGTGGGCCACCTCAACAATGGTGGGCAAGCGAGCAAGGAAGCAAGTAGTTCACGGTGAAGAAGAAGTAGAAGCAGTGAAGCTCAATCAATGAGAGAGAAAGGAGGGCAGATGGACAATCAGTGAGTCGGGGGAGGAGGCTTTGTATGATTGGAGACGATGACTCTAACGCCGCGGAGGAGGAGCGCCACCCATAACCGTTCCTCTTCATCGCCATTTCTGGCCCTGAAGCTCAGTTGCTGTAGTGGCATCGACCTCTCCCTCATCCCCCATTCCGCCATAACCCATCACCTTGTTTTGCACCTTCTCGATCGATCGTCCCGCTGTAGGCCCCGGAACCCAACTGGAGCATTGCTTTGGTTGGCTGGTACATTTTTTCTGTTTGTGGGTATTGAAGCTGCGGATTGTGGAGTGGGTGAGTTAGACCCAGTTTATAGATCTCAGGGTTTTGCTTGCGAGGGAGTAGATGAGAGTACAAGCTGGTGAGGATCGTGGAAAAGCGAGGAGGGTGAGTATGGTGTGGTGAATGTGGACGGGGATGTTTTAGTATCCTGGCGGTTCTGGAGGCTGTGACGCGGGGAGATTTGGTGGTGGGTCGTGCTTCTCAGGGGAGGAGAGCCCCAGGAGGAGTGGGAAACCATGGCGGCCACCAGTGGCTTGCTGAGAGCTCTTGTGGTGATGGTGCTGGCGGTGGCTCTGTTTCCCGTGGCGTTTGCCGAGATCAAGCACTTGTCGATTAAGAACGACGCGCGTCCTATCATTCCGTTTGAGACTTTTGGGTTTTCCATAGGAGGTGAGGTTTCTGTCATAGTGTCGGAGGTGGAGGTGAAGGAACCTGGGGCTGATAGGAGCCGAATGGGGTTCTTTCTTTCGACCATGGATGATCTTGTTCCCGTGATCGCCCAGTTGGAGGCACAAGGGAAGAACTGCCTTCTCGACAGCGCGTCGATGCACACGTTGTTCACGTTGGCTGAGACCGACAAATTCAACTACACGCATCAGGTGTTTCAGTCCAATGAATACAGCCTTTTCTTTGAGAATTGTGTGAAGACCGAGGTCTCCATGGAAGTGGTGACCTCAATGTACAATGTGGAGAATGGCTTCAGGGATTTCTTGCCGGTTGGCCAAACCGTGCTCCCAAGGATGTATTTCCTATTCTTTTTGATTAATGTTGCGCTTTTGGGAATTTGGATCTACGTGTGCTGGGCCCAGAAAGAATCGGTGCACCGCATCCACCTTTTGATGGGTCTTTTGGTCGTGTTGAAGGCGCTGAACATGATCTGTGAGGCAGAAGACAAGCAATATGTGAAGAGGACAGGAGAACCACATGGATGGGATGTTGCTTACTATATCTTCAACTTCCTCCGAGGCTTGCTCCTCTTCAGCGTTATCGTCCTCATCGGAACTGGATGGTCATTCCTGAAGCCATTCCTTCAGGACAAGGAGAAGAAGGTACTCATGGTGATCATTCCTCTCCAGGTGTTCGCTAATACAGCTTACATCGTCTACGATGAAGCTGGGCCCTCAACCAAGGACTTCTTCACCTGGAAGCAAGTTTTTCTGTTATTAGATATCATCTGTTGCTGCGCAGTCTTATTCCCTATCGTCTGGTCCATTAAGCATCTGAGAGAGGCTGCTCGCACTGATGGTAAGGCTGCTAGGAACCTTGCGAAGCTTACTCTGTTCCGCCAATTTTACATTGTAGTTGTAAGTTACATTTACTTCACACGCATAGTTGTGTTCGCTCTGTTCACTGTTACCGTCTATCGATACCGATGGACAAGCAAGTTCGCTGAGGAGGCTGCCAATCTCGCCTTCTACATCTACACTGGGTATAAGTTCAGGCCGGTTGTGCACAACCCTTACTTTGTACTCGACGACGACGAAGAGGAGGCTGCGGCACATGAGGCTTTGAAGGATGATGAATTCGACCTCTAAAGTTGTCACATTGCACGGAGCCAAGGCATTATTGAAGGAGCGTAGACGAGCTAGCAGGCTGGAGTTCCTCTTGACGGATCGCGCCAGCCCATGCTCGGAAATGCTGGAGCTGCATATCGCATCTCAACATGGGGGAAAGTTAGCTTTTGTTTTAACGATTCGTAGGCAAGTGTGGGCATTATGATGGCTGCAGCAGCTCCTCCATTGCTGGTTTGAACTTTTATTCAACTAGATTTTCTCCATGCATACCGAACTTAAGTCATCTGATTTCCATTTAGTTTTGATGAAGATGGTATAGTTTCCCGCCCTTGAACCTTTTTGTTTTCAAGCAGTTGTCTTGCACTTACTGAAATGCGGTGGTTTCATCCGAAACCATTGACTGGATGCCCGTTTTTACGAGCTTAATCTGGTCGGGTAACATCCTGTACCCTAATCAAGTGCTTATGTTTAGAATCGTCCTCTCAGAAGGGATAATGTTCAACAGTTTTGTGTGAATAGTGTTCTGCTGTTCTTTAACACTTCACCTTGCAATACCTCAATATAGCTTGAGCGCAACAAGTGTATGATTAACATAGATTGTGACAGCAAACGAATAACGAAACGGTATTTTGTTTAATTACTGTGTGTACACATACAATATATATGCAATGTTGTGATTGTGAAGCTTCACCATAATTATACATGGTACTGTATTGTGATATCTTCATGGGAACAAGATTACATTCAAGCCATGGTATGAACGGGTAAAAGTGATTAAGAATCTAAGACCGGAGCATGGCGCTGTGCACAGTTGGTTTCAGCGAATGTTCTCAGTGAAGCTTTCAGTTTTAAATCCTTCCAGGCTTCACTCATCCTCATCCATAACGCTTCGCTCACTTTCTGAAACCAACTGATTATTCACATTTGTAAACAGTAAACACTCCATGACCCACTCGTCGATATCGTGACATTTCCTCGTATCAATTCGCCTGCCGGTTCAGTGATTCTCCTTGAAAGTAGGACGATGTGCATCTATAATTGGTATCCTCAAATCCATGGACATGTGCAACTGGCAAGGTACATGTTTCCAAAGCATGTCTCAAACCACCACTGTGGTGCACACTGCTGCAACCAAAAGATCACTTCCACCTGGTACAAAGAACAAAACAGTTACCCACATGATTTCAAACGTGTGAACGACATTTTAGCAATCCGCAAACACTGAACGGATATCTACCCGACAACTGTAAAAATAGCATCATACGCAATGAGAAAAGTGTAGATAATTAGTGATACTAGCAATTTAAGCCAGTACATCAGCTCTTGTGAAGCTTTTGAAGCCACTCAGGCGATTTATAAACCATAACTTCCAACAGACAGCTATGAAAGTTCAGCATGACTCTACATATACAAGATCTTAGCCTCAAGGTACATAGGTGTAATATGTCCTAACCTAACTATGTTGAATGCAAACATCTACGACCTTAAAGCTTGTTGCAGTTGCAAAACTTGTTGCCTTTGCTCAGGAGGCAATGAGTTTATCTGTTCAGGGGTGAGACTCAGGACTTGCTGCAACAACGCCTTCTGCTGCTCTAATTCTCCAGTCATCTGCTACAAGAAAGAAAAACTTAACAAATTAGTTCAAATAAAAAATGACCAATTGCATATCTGTAATCAAGTAACTTCAGTCTGGCTTCACTACAAGAGTCGTGACACATCTACGGGGTAACATTGTTCCCCTGAGAAATGAGGCAAATAAGAGAGAATCTCTTCAAGTGGTGTCGAACACATATGACCAAAGCAACTAAATAACAAAACTGCTAAAAATTTCCGAGCGGAAATATACCTGAACATTTGGAATCGGAATAACGCAGCCTAAAAAAATAACTATTCATTGTGAGAAGCTTTCCTACATCATAACAGAGGTATTCTACAGTTTGTTCGACTGCTTGGGAGTAGCTAAAACAAACTGCAGGGTACCCAAATGGCCTTCAAGAGCCTATTCCTGTGAGTAACTTATTTATGCATATCCAAAATGACACGTATAGGAATGGCCTACTTTGTCAACACTCGTCCCATGTACTTACCAGAGGTTGTTGCTGGGACACTTGGCCCTGTATTGGCATCTGCTGCCCATACGCATGGGATTGCATAGCAGACGCAGAAGAATCTGGAATTCCAGCCTGACTCCCATAACTTGGCCGGGACTGGTTGTCGGGCACTAAAGGAGCTCCTATCAACGAAGAACCACTGGAGACTGGCACTCCAGTATTGAGAGTAGCCTGGCTTCCACTACCCACGGGTGGGCCAGCACCCATGAAAGGTCCAGGCATTACTTGACCAGGAATACTCGAAGGTACGCTTGGAGGTGGAGATGGCTGATTCATAGACGCACCAGGTACCATGCCACTAACTTGCCCTGCTTGAGCCATGGGCATATTTCTACCCATCTGAGGAATCCCACCGAGTCCCATAACTTGACCCGTTGGCAAAACGGGCTCAGATCCAGGGACCATGCCAGCCTGCCCAACTGAAGGACCAGAGCTTCCATCCATACGAGAACTCTGCTGGAGCATCTAAACCACAGAGAAATGACAGTAGTCAAAGAAATGAAATAACAATGCAATCACTGCTTGTTGGTGACAGATAGTGTGCAGAAACAATAGGAGACAAGTAGTATGCTGGATAATTCTCATAACCTAACGTAATATGGCGCGCATACCCATGAACATAGCGATTCATTAGGTATTGCAATGAACAGGAATCTAACCTGGTATTGCTGTTGAGGAGAAGGCTGACTTGGTGGAGGTGGCACACCCTGTTGAACATAAGACATGGACAACCCCATGCTTTGCTGTACCATGCCTCCTTGAGGCTGAAAACATGCCATGCTACTAGATTTTAGAAATGATAAATGTTATTAGATCATGTAAATTGTGCTCAAATAACTAAATCAGTTGGCACATCTAGTTAATAGGCAAAGGATATACTGGTATACATGCACTGACCATTAAGAAAAAAGAAAAAAGAAAAAAGAAGCTTAGTTTAAGGTCAGACTTCTTTTAAGGTGAGAAACCTGAAAGGTTGCTTGAGGCAGTGGCTGCTGCATTTGCTGGGGATGATAACTGATTGGTTGCAAGGGATTCGGCTGCTGAACTTGGCCAGAAATTACTGGAGTTTGAACAGGTCTAGGTTGTGGCGGCAGAGGAGGCTGCGGCATCAGGTTAGTAGGAGCTGCAGGGACTGCTGCTCTTTGCTGCTGCTGTTGCTGCTGCTGTTGCTGCTGCTGTTGCTGCTGCTGTGTAGGGAGCATAGCCTGGTTCTCGAATACAATGACTACTTCAGTGATGTATACATATCAGTCAGAAAGAAGAACCCCCTTGACCATGATTAAAGATGAGTGATAAAATGTTGTGAAAAAACAAAACAAAACAAAACAAAACGTTAAAATATAACCATTCAATATATTTAAATGTACATTTTATCCAATAATAAAAAGCTGAACCAAGATTACCATTGGCGGAGCCCGAACCATCCCTAACATTATCTGCGCCTGCACCACTATCAAGTCAATGATTTTAGAAGGCAATCACTTTTCTAAGAACATTGAAAAGACACTCTACCTGACACGCACGATTGAGATGCCAAGTTTCTTTATCAGCTATACCCCACAGACACATGGGGATCGATAATATCCAATTCAGACAAAAAGAATTTCTTACATAAGATTTTTGAACACATGCAAGAAAGTACACAAATGAGCCAACAACTTTTGCATGATTAGCATGACCTTTTTAAACTTGAGCTACAATCATAGAAAATATGAGAATTTGACCTGAAAGATGGCCTTCGTCAATTGCGGATTAGCCATCAGTATTTGGCGAGCTTGCTGTTGATTTTGTTGAATCATTGTCTGAAGCAAAAACGAATATACCGATCAGAAAATATAAAATTGGTGGACATCCTTTTCTCAACGTCATGATTCATATTGTACCTGCGAAAAGAGTCAGGAGGCAGGTACCTTCATCTGTACCATGACCTCGTATAGCTGCTGCTTCGACATACCAGCTAAATGACTTGTTAAGGGATCGTTGCCCACACTGACGGGAGTACCATTGGCCACAGGCATTGACTGTCCATTCATGGACACCCCATACTGCACAAGGCAAGCACCATGTCACTGAAACGATCATACCATAGTGAACATCACTTCTATTATATTAACTGCCCCTCCATTCCATTTGACAGCCCAAATCCAACCTTTACCTGCTGTTGCTGTTGCTGATTGCCTCCCAGAGTACCAGTAAGAAACTGAGCGGCAGCAACCGCAGACGCTTGACCCATCGGTGGCTCCCCACTTCTATCGATTTCAACATTACTTCCTGCTTGTCGACCACCTGCTTGCCTCTGTGTATCTGTGCAAATGAACACCACGCTCATTCCAGATATTTCTGAGGCATTTCACTCCAACAGCAAAAGCAGAAGCTTACCAAAAAAGAAACTGGACAATTATTTAACCGAAATATGTCTCTATGATTGCCACGCACGAATCCTATGATATAGCTAGCAAATTGAAGGTGAAAGTAAATTTCATAATCAGGAAGAAGTTACCTGTACTATACCCAGCTTGTTGCTGAACTTGCCCGCCTTGGCGCTGCAAGACGAAGTAGACGTGCTTGGGGTTATGAAATGGTAAGAGTAATAATGTAACAGAGGCAAACTAAAGCCTACAAATTCTTCAAAATATATTCTAGATATCAATCTTTGTAAATATCAAACTGTCATATAAATGTAAACTAATCACGTTCTACTCTAAAACTTTCAATCACGTGCCAGCAAAACCAACGAGTAGCAGTTAGGGATGAGTTGAAATTGGCAAATATACCATCTAGAGTCTGATCATATGAATGAAAATGATTACGAGCACTTCAACCCATCATTGGTATACGAAGTGTTTCTCACCCTCTTTTAAAGCAACTATCACGAGGAGCAGTTACACAAATATATAAATTTATAAATGCACTGAAGGAAAGGTAAGGACCTGCTCTCGGTTCCTATCACCGCCACCGCCTTTTTCATTCTCGGCAAAATCCACTCGAAGCTGACGCCCATTGATCTCATAACCTTGAAGATTCCGACGAGCACTCAGAGCAGTTTCCTCGTCTCTGAACTCGCAGAATCCATACCCTTTGGGTTTGCCAGTCTCTCTATCCAGTACCAACCTGGGATTCAAATACATTTAAATCAGTGAGAACGAAAAAAATTGGTAAAGCTGATACTATCCATTGTGTGATGATTAAAAAGCATGTAATACATAAGACGAATCGGCGAGTGCAAAAAAATGAGAAAACATCAGACATATTCAAGTAAAATGAAGTGGTCAACAATCAGGTCCGATCTGCACTACTCTATACACCTACTTCAACATATTTCATATTCTCTTTAGGAAAGCACACGAAAAAGAATCGGAGATATCAAAATACCAATAAGAAACGCACTGACAAATTAGATGTACCGTTCACATCATAGTAGCATGATAGACTGGGCTTCATGCTGGAACTGGCAGAATTTGGATCACTAGAGTACATACCGGAAATTTACAACAGGACCCACTTCCTCGCAAATATGTACAAGCTGTTCCTCCGTTGCATCGTACGGTATATTTCCAACTGGCTCAAAAGCAAACAATCTTTGTATCATGCATACTGATTTCCTAGGATAAAATAAACACCAGCACAGAACAAAACTACCTAGCAAAACAGCGTCCAGAGGCAGAAAAACATCTAGAAGGTTCATAGTATCTACAGCATTTTGGAAGAAAATGAAACAGTCGATGACTATGGCGCGGAAATAAACCATATGAACACATCACAACAACGCAACTACTTGATAACCACTGCAGTATCATCTGCGCAAGTAGAATTATTCAACCATGGTACACAGCATGCAGAGTACGAATTCCAGTGAGCTAATTTGAACCCTAAAAGCTACACTAAACCCCCTCAATCCTCAATCGTAGAAAGCGAAAACACCTGATGGAACTCCACTAGATGGTAATACATTTCCCAGACTAATGAACCGTGATCATAACGGTCAACTGAGCAACTGCAATTCTGCACATACAAAAAAAGCAATCGCCACCACAACCAGGTAGTCGTAATACCCCGCAACGTCCACGAAGTAGAAAACACTCCGAGAATTTATACCATACAATTTGTCCATATCGCGATGACTAAACGAACCCTTGGTTTTTCGCAAATGGCGAGGCCGAAGTAATCGAACGCTTCCGTATATTCCAAAGTAATAGCAAAAAAGATAATAAGCTAAAACACATACCTCCCCTGCGAAAGGAGACAATGCGACCAAGGCGGGGCGGGGGGATAATGAGAGGAGACGGGAAACGCACCAAAAACACACCGGGATGCGCGGTGTTGAGTGCTGCTCATCGCGGGAGACACAGAAGTCCTCCCCCGTCAAACAGTCGTAGCGCGCATAAACGACCCGAGCTAGAATATATTTCCCGCAAGACGGTCGTAAGTGAGAAGAAGAATCACTGAAACATCGACGCACACACTCAAAAATCACTCTCGTCGCACGAATTTCTTGAGCTCCAAGCTCCGGAAGCAAGAAAAACCAGCATTGCTCAGATTTTAGGGCTGCACGCTCCCCACGACGCCGTTCTACTGGGATTCCCCGCGTTCCCACCTGAGCTCACCATGATTCCATGAAGTCCGCCCTAATTTTGCATTATAAATAACTCGGGATTTCCTCGTTGGAAGATGAAGTTGGACCCATGATGATGATGATGCATGTTACGTTTAGATGCTGACTTAGTATATTATATACTATAATACAATATAATATAGTAAAAATAGCATTTAATATTGGAGCTAATCAATATACTTGTTTGTTTGTATTTTGAATCATACATTAATTTGGATATATATATATATATATATATATATTTTAAATTAGATCTTTATTTCAAAATTAATTAATTAAAAATATATAATTTTTGAGTAACTTATTTATTATAATTTTAATTTATTTACATATTAATGTTTATATATATATATATATATATAGGATATTGCTAATGCCACCACAATCCTTCATTCACTACATGTCACTTTTGTTTAATATTTTTCAAACCAATCAAATTTTCTTTATTTAATATCTCTCAAGCCATTAATTAAACAAAAAAAATGTTGGAAAAAAAAACTAAATAAAAACTAAATAAATTAATGAATCAAATAGGTGACGAGTTATGGTAGTAGTAACAAAATTGTGGCATTTTTTTTAAAAGAGGCATTAGCAATATTGTGTATATATATATATATATATATATATATGTGTGTGTGTGTGTATATATATACATATATGAAAATTTTAACATGTTGTTATAAGTAAAAATTTGTAACAAATAATATATATTAGAGATTGTATATGAAAATTATGGATATTACTTTTAATAAATTATAATGCTTAATAGAACAAGATGTTCTAAAACAAATTAATAAATAAAGTATTGAAAAAACTCATCTATAATTATTATTTTTCTTTCTTCTTTTAAATTAATATCAAATAATACATCCATTATATAATACAACTTAAGTGTAATGCAAAGAGACAAAGAAGTCTTTTGATTAGTCATGAAAAATAAACTTATAGAACTTAGGAAACACAGGAACTAAGAAACATAGGAACTAGAGACCATGGATGAACAAGGAAATGGATGGATGCACTAGAGATTGCAATGCCCAACAACATAAGTTTCTACTAGTATATACATATATATACAAATGATATCATTTATCTATAACTATGCTTCAATATAATTAATTATTATCTTATTACATTAAATATAGATTTTTTTTACTAGAATGAATTATTAATGTGATTTTATATTATTGTATTTATTTCTGAATCAAATGATTATCTAATTTTATTCTATAATTTTAAAAACATATGCAACTTTACTTTTAGATTATTTATAATTTAATTTTTTTAAAAATAAATTTTACATATCTAATAGATTACAAATAATTACTATCAAAATAAATATAACATTATAGATTTTAGTTTAAAACTAAAGAAAACTTATAAATATAATATTTTTTAAAAATTATATTGTGTTAATTAATAATTTTTTATTATAAGAAGTATAAAAATATCAAAATATATAAAAGTTGTTATTTCTACAAATGTCTTGATTTTTACTTTAGTACTCTTAATGTCTAAAAAACAATTATTTTATGACATTTGTATATCAATCTCATATATGTTTAATTCTTAGACTAGAAGAGAATAACTTCAAAACATGATATTAAAATAACATCTTTAGTAATGTTTTAACAATGTCGTGAGTTTTTTTAAGACACACAATAAAACTTTTAAGAACCATGTTAAGAGAAGTGGCCTTCCTTTATAGTATTTTATACATAGTTTGTAAAAACTTGTATTATTAAATACATACATTTTGTTTTTTGAGTATTTCTAAGATGGTAGAGAAATTGAGCTATTTCTATTGAATCTTGATTTATTTTGACATATTGTATGCATTTGTAATATGTATTTTTTATAAAACAATGCTTAAAATTGTGTGTTTGAAATTTTAGATTACATCAATTATTTTAATACGATTGAAAATAATTATTAAAAAATTTATATAAAATATATTTTAATTCCGTTTTATGTATCTCAATTTATTATTATTATTATTGCCTAAGCATCTACTTTAAATTCATGTTATAACTCTCCACTACCTAAAATAATTAATATTTTTATCAATTATAAAAATAAATTTAAAATATGTATAAAATATCGATATATTTTATTTTATATTTATACTAAATAATGATAATATTAGTAAACAATAATGTTATATTATTCTTGAATTAAAAAAAAACAGAATTTAGTGGTAAGTAAAAAAAAATGTATTTATAATTTAATTTTGCAATGATCTATACCAGCATACAACCATGTCAAATATTTCTTCAAATTACATTTCATGTCCAAACAAAAAGTTTACAATTTTACATGCTGTTAGAAGAACTTTGCATTGTTTAAAAGTATTTTCCTTCAAAGACAAAGATAAATTTAATTTATTGTTTCTTTTTTGTTCTTATCTTACTTTTGTAAGAATATTATGGACTTAATAAAAAAAATCATGTAAGATGTATGTTTTTAAATAAAATCTATCAAAGTTCCTGCATTATTTAAGCTAATAAATTCTTGCTTTGTGTCTTCTTGCTTTATGTGCAACTTCTTCATCAAATTTTTTTTATTGTGCACAAATTGGTTTAAAGCTTTTTTTGGTAGAGGTACACATATTTCACATATAAAATTTACAATTAGCTAAAAAAAATGATAAACTTAGTCTTAAAGAATATCAAAATATAATTTTTAGTTTAATAGATGTAAATACATCAATTGCAAATAATTGTACTATCAAATGTGTTCTGATTTTTATTTTTTATTTTTTATTTTTTCTTTAAATTATTTTATTGTTGTTAGAAGTAGTCTTTATAAATATAAAAGTTTAATCTTTCCAATAAAATAACATGTTCCAAATCTTGGATTTCTTTTGTTCAAAATGAATAATTTATTTTATTTTTATTTATTACAATTCTCTACAATGTTTACACCATAGATTTATACTTCTAGAAAGAATTTGTCCTTTAAAATTATTAATTTTTACATTAATTGAATTCGTTTTACATTAAATTAGTTTGCTTCTTCAGCAATTGTTTATTATTGTAACTTTCACAATTTTGTCTTGATTGTCATTCAATTTTATTTTTTTTAATCTCCTCTATATTTATTCCCATATTGACTATATTACTTAGCTGCCTTATGCTGTTTTGACTTTGTTGATAAGGTTATAAAAAAAACATATCTTCATTTTTAAGTATAGAAGCACTTGTACCATTGTTTGTTTTTATGAGTTGTTGAGTTTTTATATGTGTCCTACATTTTACAACATGAATTGAAATAAGATTATGGCTATCAGAGCTAGAAATTTGTGACAAATGCCACAATTGAATAAAAGAATTACATTTTGGAATCTTACAACAAATCAAAAGTTTCTTATTAGTATTTCCAGATGATAACATTCTTGATTATGGTTTTTAAAATCAACCTAGTCTAACCCATGTACACAATTTTATCAATCCAAGTTTTGCACAAGAGACTCATTGAGCTAGTTGTTAAATTCACATCCTACCAAATTGAATCTATTTAATGGCACTAAAACAATTATGAATTTCTGTCAGTAACAAAAACAAATTATGAATAAGCAATCAAAATAGACCACATAATTACAATAACATATTATTTTATAAAATATTTTGTTATTCCTAATAAAATACAATGAATGTACCCAGTGCCTTTTAAAACAACTTCAATGTTGTTTCTTTTGGTAATTTGCCAGAGAGTTTCTGAAAAATAATAACCAATTTAAGACTTTCTTTCTTTCTTTCTTTGTAGCATGACAACAACAATACTGATATGATCTTATTGCAATAATTTGAGAATAAAACTAATAGTAAGATAATTAAAACAACTTCACCATTGCTACTCTATTTGGATATGCAATATATATATATATATATATATTTCCAAAAGGTATGAATCTTTGAAATTCACAAAGTGCATTTTTTTTTGTTTTTTTTCTACTTTATTTGCATCATATTAACAACAAACAGAATTAGCGAATTAATTTCCAACTTGAAAAATCCAACAAGTCATAAGACTATTTGTATTACTAATTGCCTTCACTATGATGGAAAATATTAAAATATAAGATGAGCTTCTTTATCATAACAAAATCCAAACATTTGTAGTCCTCATCTGTGATAGCTTCTTTTTTTCTTTTTCTTTTTCTTTTTACAAAAAGATTACAATTTCAAGAAAAAAAACAACACCAAGAAATTAATGAGCAACTAAGTATAAATTTAAAATTAAAAAATCATAGCTTGTAAGAAAATGGACAATTATTAAAGCAATTTTTGTTAATTTAAGTTTATAAAATAGCAATAAAATAACATTGAAAAATCAACCAAGGAAAAACATTGGATGCATTTGGATGCAATTCATTGCAAAGTACAATGTATGGGTTGCTTTTGTGTGAATGTGTGTACAAAAAGTTTACTTTCACAGTGGAGATTCCATCCGCATTACAGATATCTCCAATTAAATCTCTTCTCCTTTTTTAAGCCAAAACATTCTTTCCATGCAGATTTCATGAGGAGTGCTTAAGTCAACATATTTAACTCTACTAAAGCTTCATTTCAAATAAAAAGCTCTCATCTAATAGAAGGGCTTGTTTAACTCCCCAGGATCTTTTGTACTACTTAGGAACACCTTTTTGTTTTGTTTTGTTTTTTTTCTTTTCTTTTTATGAAACCTATAATTTTGGTATAACATAATACAATAACTAGAGCATAATATTCAGTGTCAACTCTCAAAAGTGAACATCACTTATATATATCACAATGACAAATCCTTGACATCTACAACTCAAAGTAATCCAAAAACAAATTCCCTGGTCTGACTGACAATGACAGACGTTTTAAAATGCCCTGGGGCACACTTTCGGAACTTCTAATTGATTGGGAAAGTGCTATCACCACTGGTTGCCATCTCACTGCAGTCAACGAAAGCTCGGCACCTCACTGAAACAAACATGCACTGATGTCGTAAAGAGAGCAACTTTCTGGAGCTACATCCGCACAAAAATAATAATAAATAAATAAATTTAGATGAAACATTCGCAAAACATTGTAGCACTTCATTTTACTCAATGTAAAGCACAACGTATCAAAACACTCATGACAGACCAGAAAGACATGACTGGTAATCACAAACCTTCCTGGAGTACGAGAGAAGAGAGTATCTTGGCTGGCATTTCCAAGAGTTGCATCATGAATTCCTGCTTATCGTACAAAACTTGCAGAGTTATCTCTTCAAGTGGTAACCAACCTAATTTAGTCTACCATACACATACACCAAAAAGGAATCCGAAGAATAAACCACGGTTCAGCTTGAGCATCTACCAGTGCCAACCTGAAAGCCTATTGTAACTTTCTAACCTGATCTTCAATTTTGATCAGGAATTCTTCCTGATCGTCCACATTTACCTTCCTTCACTAAACCACACTATAGGGATTATTATTTTTCCCTTCTGTGCACAAATCGAGCATTGACAAAGAGGAAGCATGAGAAAGCCCTGGACCACGCGCGCTAGGTCTACATGAATCTGCCCTTACAGTACTATTGTGTCGACGCTTCTTATACGTTCTTGGGGCATCCCGACCAATACCAACCTGCGGATTGAGTACCCAAATATTCGTATATTAGTCACTTTACAATACATAACAGTTCATAAGTGTGCAAGCCAAAAATTCACACGATGACAGTTCTAAAAACCAATGCAAACCGTAATCTCCAAAGTAAGTAGTTAAGCCGTTAGTGTATTAGATGGCCAAACAACGATACAATTGACCTACAATTCTGAAGCTCTATCGTATTTGTACGTGACTTGTGATAAGACTAGGCACAAGGCTCACTAAGCAGCTAATGTAAGAAGCTGGAATTGATACCTGAAACTGCAGAGTTTGTGGCGGAAAGCTCATAGATTGGATCTCTTTCTGCTCCAAGCCTCGCAGCTCGCGCGACTGCTGGGCAATCTCTTGGATGAGCTTCATCTCTCCATTCTCTCTTCGCAAAGAGTCAATTGTCTGCTTCATCAGGTACCTGTCAGCCTCCAAAGTTTTAAGACGATGCGTCAACTGTTCAACCTCTTCTTCCACTAGACTTAGAATTTTCCTTACTGTGCAACGTGGAAATGGGTAAATCCTCATAATGTGTTCTATTCATATCTTTCCACTGCCTCTCTAAGTCAAAGTCTTCATCTGCTCGTGGATAGGCTGAGGAATTACTCAGAAAATGTGTCTCTCGTTCTTCATTGTCTCGTGTGTGATTTTCTTTGACATTAAAACTATCTGGCTTCCCTAAGCAGTCTGAAATAGGAGACTGCATCTCTAGACCAGACTTAGTGCCTGCGACCCATATGCCAAATCCTGATGGAGCTTCGTGAGGGTGATTTTGTACCTCATAAATATCATGCACGGATAGAGCTTCGTCGACACTCTCTTCTGACCTCCCAGCATTGACGTATATTTCCCCATCATCGTTACTGACTTGGGCATCACTTTCGGAGTTGAAGCTATACTGCTGCGCGTACTTCTTGTCTCTTCTCTCGTCTTGAAGAAAGGTCGTGTTATCAACAGAATCTTCGTCCATAATCAGTCGTTGAAATGAATTACCTCTTTCAAGACTGCCTGACATTACTGAAGAAGAACTGCTTTCAAGCTGACCGGGGCTCTTGAATTTAGTACCTTCTTCTCCTCCATTAATGCTTGTTGGCCTAGCGTGCTGCACAGTAGGTCTCCCTCCTTGCTGTTGAAGTTGTTCTTCCAAATTCCTCACATACTCTAACACTGACAACCTCTTCTCTTCCATACGCCTGTCTTCCTTAGCTTTCGCTAGACTCTCTGCTAGTGACACTTCTTGAGAACCGCGGGCGATCCATCTTCTCTTCAAACTCAGAAGACTCACAAATTCAGGCTTTCCAGGAGGTTTTTCACCATCCATCCCCAATGTCTTATCAGTCTGCTTCTTAATGGCAGCGAAGGAAGAAGCTGGCAGACCTCGTTCAGAGCTGGTAGAAACAGGTTCATCAGACACTTTCTTATCATCCTCTTCCAATACCACTTCGGTCTTCTCGACCACTGTGAAAGGCGAAGACGGAGGATCGATTTCACTACTGGCAGAAACAGGCGCATCAGCAGCTCTTTCACAATCCGTTGTCTTCGTCGGTGCTTGCTCAAGCTGACCCTTATGAACTGTAGGAGGGGGTATTGGTAGACTATTCTCACGACCTGCCTTGATCGCAATTAACCCTAATGGAGTTTTTTGACTATCGTGATCCAATACTGGAAGACTATCAGTTCTCGGCGAGACTTTCGCCATCGCTTTGTGGATCTCATTAGCGAAGCTCACTGATTCCATAATAGCGCTTGCAGGTTCAGATATTCCTTCCCGCAGCAGAGCAGTAAGAAGCTGACTCTTAGTTTTGTTCAGTCTGTCGAGGAATTCAGCTTCCTCCTCCTTCGCAAGTCTAGAATTGGGAGCAACTCTATCGGTAGTCGTAAGCTCTGCTCGTTCAGATTTCGGAGAGGTGATAGATTTTTCATCCACATAGGATTCTTCGAGATGGAGCATGGATGCGCAGTCTACTCCAGCTCTTTGAGCATAATCTCTCTCTTCCATCAACACAGCTTCTAATCTCTCCTTGTATAGATGCATCTCCTCCTCCAGTGCTAGCCGTTCTTCCTCACGTTTCGCAAGAATTTCTTTCAGAACTTCAATTGCCTCCTGGTCATACAAAGCTTTCTCCATTACCATCCGCTGAAACTGTCGAGACTCCATCTGAATAGCTGCTTTCTCTTCTTGTAGTCTGGAGATCATAGCTAGAGCTTCACTCGCAGCTGTAGCGGAAGAGTTCCGTTCTTCTTCTAACTCACTGTACAGAGCAGCCATAGCTTCGCGCTCCAACTGCAAAGCATGCAGCAGTTCCTGATCTTTCAAATATTGTTCCCGTCTCACATCCTCGGGACATCGGCCATTGGAGTCTTCGTTTATCTGTACTGATCGTACAACATTTGTCTCCACAGACCCAGCTTTTTCTCCTTCAGGAGAATCCTCCCGCAAGTGTTCGCGAGCCGTACTCTCTGATGAAGCACAGACTGCGATGAAATCTGAAGACTTCTTAAGATCGCCATCTCTCAAAGAGTCATCACTATTACCAACGTCTCTTGAACTCACTTCACTTTCAATGGGAACACTGATCGACTTTGGTTTTGGCAACACGAAATCCTTCTGTGGTACCGAGTCTACATTTTCCAATGACCCTTTCTGGAGATGCGTACAGCAAGAGCAAGGAACGTAGAGCCCAGAGACTCGAATAAAGGATGAAGTGAAGAAGTTCAGGACTGCGCATATGAAGACTATCAAGGCCAGTAATGCTTCTCCAGAGGCAAACAGCAGCGCAGTTGCACTCCAATGAAAAGCTGCGTCATTGTGTAGGCTTCCCCATGCCATTTCCACACCTCTACCACGCTCTTAGGATAGCATAAAACCTCCTTGGAACATTTCATGCGCGACGATTATGCACCCACCCCAATCCATTCGCACCGCAACACTTCAGCTTGCCATTGGCTCGTCTTGAAAGCAACACTCGCTACGCATCCAAAATACCCAACGCAGTCAAGTTAACGTAATCCTTACTAAACCCAAAATAACTGCGCAGTGTATACAATTAATGATCTGCGGTGGTGACACGATCTCCAAAATACCGAATCAAGAAGGAATACAAGCGAAGGCTCAGTGCGTTATAGTAACAGATACTCATCACTGTAAGCCCAGACCTCTTTAATGTTACAGCTTTCGCGCGCTCCCAAAGCCAAAGCATGTTATCTACAACCACCTTATGACCATTGTGATTGCATGCTCTCGCCCACCAAGATCCAATTCTCTAAACTTCACACCAACCCCCTAAACTCCCAAAACTTCCGCCGTCACTACAGAAGCAGACTCAATTCTGGTAAGGCCGCACTCAAAACAATCTCCAAAAATTCGTCTAAAGCCCCAATATGTTACAAATACCACACCAAATTGATGGTGCGGTATTAAGGATGAGAATAAAAACACAAATAATTTACCTCCAAAGCGACTTGAGGAAAGAGAAGGGTAAAAAAAAACAAAAAGTGGGAGGGGTTGTGTGTGTGTGTGGCAAAACCTTCTCGCAGAAAACCAGAAAATGGTTGTTCACGGCGCCACGATCACACCTTACCCATCTCTTCTAAACTCCCTCAGATTGAGATCAATAGCACCCATAGCCAAAGAACTAAACCGCAGGAAAGTGGGAGTCCGATATCCACTCACCCTACTGCAATCATCCCTCAAGCCCTCTTTCTCCCTCTCCTCGCCCAAACCATCAATCAATCTACAAGCTCTCCAATTCAGAGACCAAATCTACGCCACCATCGCCGCTCATATCTAGCCACTGCAAATGCCACAAGCACAGCAAACAAACACGCTGCGGGTGTGTACGTGCACGCGGCATTGCAAAGCAGGCCCACCTTGTCAACCAGATGCGCAGGCACCAGATGCCACAGGGTGAAGAAGGGAAGAGAAGCAGCAGACTGATTCAGTCGTTGTCTCCTCCTAACGACGATGACGATGAAATCACGTCTCAACGCACAGAGAACGAACGATCAACCGAAGCATGGAATGATGAAAATTGGCTACAAGCTGCCGAGGCTGGATTGGCAATAGACGTCTTGGTGCCAACTTGCGTGCAGGTCCTGGGGAATCCACGAGAAAGCCAGCCTCGCAATACCAGCCTCACATCATTTTACGTTTCTTTACCTGCCCCGCCCCCACCTGTTACGAAACTGACCTCGTCGCACACGGTCAATTGTCGACGGCGAGGACGACGACAACTACGACGACGTCCCACGCTTCCTCATCTGTTCGTTCACTCTTACTTCGCCCACCCACTTCGGCAACTTCTGCAATTGTCACACCGTTCCACCTCCCACGTTTACGCCTCCCGGTCACCTCAACTTTGAGTGAATCTTCTCCACGAAGCGAGATCACCGTTCACGTTACACGCATCGTTTCAGGATCAGCTTAGTCGACTTCCAAGAGATAAACCCCGTGCCCGAAACTCAGCCCAGTGGTGTGTACATCACCCAGGCCGGCCCTGCTGCTGCTGATGCTCTTTGCTTACATCAAAATCACCATTTACTTCGAGAAGCACAGCCTTGACGACGCAGACACTGGTCGACATTGGTCGCGAGTGCGGCTCCATAGACGCCGGATTTCCCGATGCGGCGAATCCACCGGGAGTGGGAGAATCCCCCAACTACCCAAAATGTTGTCAGGCGCATGTGTGCGCAGGCGAGTGTGGTCCCCTGGATATGTGCCTCCTCTTCAATTCCTTGCTTCCGCGAGACTTGCTATACTTGGAGCAATCCTGCCTCCGCTCAGTTTCTTGCTTCCGGCGCCGATCTTCGCGTCGGCCCCTTCCCATGATCTCCACGTTCCCTTCTCGTTCCCGTCGCGTGCACGTTGCTTGTTTGCCGTCTCTCTCTCCAGCGCTCGCTGCCGCTGAAGGCGGGATTTGTATTTTCCATCATGGATGATGGTGCCCCTGCTGCGCGTCTTGGCTCCGCCTCACCCTGGGTTAGGTCCCGACCCCCCCCCCTGTAATCTATTTTGTATTTCCACTGATAATTTACCAGGAAGTTGGACTGTGGGAGTGACTGACTGACTGACTAGTTGGGGGGTGTCAGTATTCCTCGCCTTCTTTCTCCCTTTGCAGCCAGCATTCAAGGATCAGCTCATTCAGCCTCTCACTTTTTTGTCCCTTTGTTTTTTCATTCCCGGGCAGCTTTAATTTCGTGTCTGCCCTTGAGCTGGTTTTCACAGTGTGCCTAGTTTTAGAGCCCCCACCACATCATAATACTCCCTCCCTAATCACAACATGTGCTTCCCAAGGTGTCAACCCAAAGCTTCCCTCAAGCTTCCTCCTACATTCTAGAGCATCAAGGAGAGGGTTTGATTTTCTAGGGTTAGGTTTTGGGGGAAACAAGTATGTGCCAACTGAGTGTGTGTTGTGTTGGGGCTTTGTGGGTGATATTGGGTTTTGGGACACATGAGTTTTGTGCAGGGCATCCTTGTAAAGGATGTGCATAACAAGATCCTTGAATGTTTTTTTATTGGAGTTTATCTCACATCAAGTAACATAATTTGGCTAGTTTTGGCAGACGTGCAGCAATGGTGCAACTTTTGAGAATGCCAGAGGATGTTTTTGAAACCCAATGTCAAGCTCACTGCACCACCCAAGAGAAAAATATCTACAGAAATGCTTTTGTTGACATTAGTTTGCGATATTGATTCCAATTAAAATGTCACATGCTAAATTATGATGATATGTGACATGAATCATTATCATATCCATTCCACTTGTTTCTTCTCTTGTACTTGTTTTAAAATTTTGAAAGTCAGTACAACTGTGTTAATTTGTTGTTTAAATAGCCTCAAAATTAGAAATTGCAACCCGAGCAAGTTGCATAGAAATCACTTTTTTTTTTTTTTTTTTTTCTCTCTTTTGTAATCCACTTGTGCAGGTAAATCTCTGTTTGAAATAAAATCAAATACTGGAAGCAGATACATAGATATATACATCAATAAACTTCTTAGCAAGATTGGTAGCTAAATTCAGCATGATTTAAAATTTATTTGCAATTTAGGTCACATATGCTCCAACTTGACAATTCAAATTTAAATGCATCATTTTCTCAAATAAAATCAATACCATTTAGAATATAAACTAATTTTTTTGTGTATATAAATACATATATATATATATATATATATATATACACACACTTCAATCAGTATAAAAATGAACACAATTTGTTTTTAGGGTAGTTAAACAATCTGCAAGAAAATAATTTTGTTATTAAATCTTCTTATATCTAGTAAAGGAGCTGTTATAAATTAAATACTACTTAGGTGCAACATTTAAACTATTCAAAGACATGAATATATATATATATATATATATATATAGGTGAAAGACTTCATACAAAACTTTATAAAACGAGTTTTTTTAAATAGATTTGGTTTTCTGTTTCTTTTTATAAATAAATAATTAAATATATAAATAAAAGTTTTAAATGGATCTAAATATATGTTAAAAGTTAAAATACAATTCAAATTTTTATAATTGTAGCATCAGACCAGAAAATGAATAAATAAATAAATAAATAGATAAGCATAGGTGTTAATTTTTTTATTTTATTTCAATGAGCTACTTAAGAAACGTGCACATAAAAATAAACCAATAATATTTATGCAGAAATTGTTGAAGAGATTTTAGTTGCAAGTTTTAAAATATATTTTTTGAGATGAAAAAAATCTGAAAGACAATGCACCAAATAGTTAACACTCCTTTTGTAAAATGGTTTTTGAAGAGAGCAATCTGAATAATAACTTTGTAATTTGCACAGAATGAAGCCAAAGTTATAATAAAAGTGGTAATGTATATCTTTTTACAGTAAATAAATACTTGATTGAATATTATTTTTTAAAATTATACATATATTTTCTTGAAGAAATTGAAAAATATTTTCCATATTGATGTCTCAAAGAGTTAATTAACATCCTATTACTTTAAATTGCGTATAATATATTAGAAATACACTGGGTTTTAATGGTTTTTTTAGATAAGTATTTTCAAGTTTTTTGAAAACAATTTTTTAAAAATTAAATTTCAATGTATACATATATATATATATATATATATATATATATCCATAGCTCCTTGCTCTTAATTATATATATATATATATATATATATATATATAACATAGTTATAAATTTGTTTTCAAACAAGCCCAACAGCCAAATGTGTCAACCAAGTGTTTGTTAGGGTAGTTTTAGGGTTTTGATCAGAATACATATTTGGTTGGAAAATACATAGTGTTATGAATCCCCTCATTGCTTTTCCCTTTTCAACATTAAAAACGTTTAGATCACTTTGTAAAATGCATGTGGGGCTTTTGAGAAGATGCTTGATTGCCATGCCACAACTTTTATGAGATTTTGTGGGATTCCCTTTTGGGATAAGACTTCTACATGTCACACCCAAACTTGTGGGGCCTTTTACAACATGAAAGGATTTGGTGTATGACCTAGTCCTTCCAAAAGTCACATTCATTTGGTTAATTTGCGTTCCTTTTATTAAAATTTGTTCATGGCATGCAAAATGTGATCACATATCATGGAATTTCAACTGCAAAGTTTTTCCATGTGTGTCATGTTTTAAAATTTCAGATTAAATTATGTTTTAAACATAGATACATACATGTTATACCAATGTGTAATTATGAGATAAATCATTTTCGTCCCATCATGTCACAAACTGTTTTTGAAAAAAGAACAATCAACTATTTTTATGGTATGGAACTTATCAAACATACACATGCAGTATAGTGTATCTTATTATAATATTGTCATGCACACTGAAGAGTACTATATATATCCTCCAATTTATAAAATTTTGACCAAAAATAAATCATGTGTATGCCTACTTGTTGAAACACACTTTAGTTGTTAAAGAAACCTAATTTTGATGTTTAATTAGTCATCTATGTTTTGAATACATTAGAAGTAAAACTAATGAGCAACTGAATTGTTCCTTGTGTTGAATGTAATGTCATTAATGATGAAGGTAAGGTGATGAATTTATGCATCATAATTTTGAACCTATCTTGGTATAGTAATTCCACATATGATCTCTTTTTTATTAAGAAGGAAACAAGAAAAAAAAGAAAAAAAAGAAAACATATAAATATACACATACATATATATGTGGAGAGAGAGAAATGGACCGAATGACGTGGAGGGCCGAGCCATTTATGATCCCAAACCCGCTCAATCCCATGTGGCAGGGGTCCATTATGAGGCGTGGGAATGTTGGCGTCACGGGGCCATTACGCCATGAGTCTCGTGGAGATGGGGTCATTACGAGCGCATGCCCCAGGCACGGACATGGCCTTTATGGCCATTAACTCACACTAACTCATAGCAATATGAAAATTAGTGTGTTTATCTGGTATTCTTGAATAGGGTTTGTGAGAACGAGGATGAAACATCCATCCACCTCAAACACTGTTCACGTAACCTAATTCATCTTTTCTGGCGAATCTAGTGCATTCCAACAGAAGACAAAGGTTTTCGGAATCTACCAGTTGAAGAGAGTGTACACCGACAGCGGAGCCATTCGGAGTCAGTCGCACCGCCGACACAATTCAGTCTCCGCGCATCATCGCCGACACGTCTGAATCCCACTGCCACCATTGCGGATTTTCTATGGAGAGGGTCTCGTTTCGGTTGGTAGAACCCGCTCAGCGCCAGGCTCGGCTGTGCTTTGATCAGCGTCTGTTATTCGGGAAGGAGGAAAAGCATCTGTAACTGCAACCGCCGCCGCCGTTACTGGTGGTCGATGCACATCAATGCCGTCTCCGGAAGACGTCGACATCCTTGGCGTGAGCTGCACCTACTCGCTCATCGCGCCGATTCTGTTATTGTGCGCGATGGTAGAAGCACAACTTCCGAGTTTTGAGTTGTCTATTTCGCCATTAGACGTAGCGATTGAGCACGAGAACTTCCTCCCTGGCATTGATACATTGGTTGGGATTTCTGGACGTGATCAGGGTTTGTTAGCGCTCTCAGCCGAATCTGCGACGTTCAACAAAAAAGTTTGTGCTACCACCATCATTATCGAAACTTTTTTGTTGATCGTTTCTAGCAACAGGTAATGCAGGAGATGTCTGCTTCGGAGAGGAGCGCCTGATAGATTCCGGAATGGTGTGCGGCGTTGTCTACACGAAGGCACGAATCGGAAGTGCACGTTGAAAGGAAATCCGCACAGTTAGTCGGTTTCCAGGTGTGCAGGATCTACTCTTTGATCAATTTACATCCAATTCCATGCCTCCGCCGAAATTTCACCTGATAAGATAACTCAAGCCATGTACTCCTCACGCTGGACCTGGACTACTTTCCACGTGACTGCAATCTCCGATAGCTTCCGTAAATCATGAAAAACCTGCACGGAATCGAGAAACCAAAACGATGGAGCATCCATTTCAAGTCTGCTTTTTTTCCCAAACTTGGTTGACATTGAGAAAGTGCTGTACCCAAACCGTGAGAGCCATGTTCAGGAAGCTTGGAGATGGAGTGTGCAAAAGAGCACAGAATATGCGGGTCCACGACAGAATGCACAAACATCGGAGCGTGGTCTGTCACAGTTTGTGGAGTGCTGGAGTATGTTCCCGGGATTCAATGACTTTGCCTCCGTTGCAGCGTCGCCGAAGCAGCGGCTGTCGAGTTCGGAACCATAGATCCTTCGAAGCAAACGCCACCGCATGATGGAAAGTCTTGCCATGTGTTCTATCAATCCCGATGCCCTGAATTTGTGTTCAAAATTGTGAAAATTTCAATAACGAATCCACATGCAAAGAGGTCTAAAGTGAGTTCAGTTACAAATCGATAAACATGAAAAATAAAAGTAAGTTTCATTTGTTTACCAAATTGAGAATGTTATTCTCCTGCATAGAAATTAATTATTTCATATTTATTAATTAAATCTTATTATCTCAAGTGTCTGTCCCCTCAAATCTTGAACCATGAAAGCATTTGATGGTGATTTTTTAGAGTGACTTTTGTTCATATATGTCCAATATAATTTTAAAATGACAAGAAATTGTTATAAAAGTTTAAGAGTATGTAGGGCTTGTGGGATGTATTACATGTGTAATGAAATGGTAAGGCACAATTTTCATTTATTTTTAGATTTGAGGCCAACAAAAATCTTTAAAAAGTTTTTTTTTCAAATTTTATTAAGTTCAAAATATTTACTCACAAAATAGTTGTGGCATGATTTAAATGCAAAATTTGTGTTTATTTTTTACACCAACAAATGCTTTTTACTTTCAAATAATAAAGATTTTCAAACAAAATAGAAGGCTTAATATCAAATGAATTACATAATAAAGCTTCCATCACCTTTATGCAAACTTAGTAAAAATATTTTCCAAATATATTGATATGAACACTATTATTGTATAAAACCACAATTATTCATGTTTCAAGGTAATTGATTGTCTTTTAGTTATAAATTATTTTTTTATTCTTTTTGTAACAAATATAAATTTTAAAAATAATTATTTGATAACCTTCTTAATAATTTTTAAAATTCATATATAATAAAAATAGCAAATATATATATAAAATTATATTATTTGATTATTTAAAAATAATTTGTATATCATAAAATGTACAACACTTTTAAGAAGATAATATTATTATAAATGGAAGTTAACAATAGTTTTTTTTATTATAATGATTATAGATCTTATATTTTTACAGTAACAAAAATATTAGAAAATCGTATCTTATTTTAACAACAAGATTGATCAATTTTATTTGTAATTTGTTATAAGCAGTGTATTTTTTAAACATCTTTTGTAAACAATTTGATATTTTAAAGTTAAGACCTAATTTTCAGTTGGACATTTAA